CATCCTCCACAACTAGATTGAAGAACAAAACGACAGCAACTTGTCTGTTCCCCTTCCCCTAATTCCCCAGCACTGTTCCCATCCCCCCAATTACCCAATTAAAATCTTTAAAAAAAAAAAAAAGAAATATTTCAGGAATAATATGAAAGTCCTAGAAATTTCTCAGTGCCCTTTCTGTTCATGAACGGTCCTTATGCTGCTTGGCCTGAGAGTAGACAACAGTATAATGTTATCATAATTCCAGTTATTCTCATCAGATCTTTAATCACAACCATTTTAAGCCTTTATCATTCATAGATAGTTATTGTTTTATTCTGATGTTTTCCTGAAAGCTCTTGTAATTAGCTACCAGCCAGAATGCTTCATCTTCAGCAGAAAGGACGATCTCTGAGACCCATGTAAAGGGCTGTGACAGGTAACCTGGGGTATAGGCTTCAGATGGCATTGCTTAAGTAAGTTTGAAACCAAACGAAAAAGGGGTCATATATTAAACCTGACAAGCTGGGGGTGGAGAGTGGGTGCATTGCAGGACTTACAAACTCCGTGACCAAAAGTAACCACACAGGATAGTCTGAACATAAAAATTCCTAGTTAAGTGGGTTATGGTGGATAGTCACATTCTAGGCCTGTTGCTTCCTTGACAAAGGTCAGTCTTTACCTTAAGTGATGCCTGTCTACTGTCTGTGTGCATCCAGGATAACATACCTTTGAAATGTCAGAGTAATTGTCTTTTCCAGACCCCCCAAAGGCACGACCACTAGCACCAGAGCACGAGACCACAGAACCCTCACTGTTATCTTGTTGCTCACATACCATCTCTATGTGCTATAAATGTTAATTATTAACTATCCTGTACCCACCACAAAAGAAGTATGTGTTACTCCATTTTGCTTTTTATCTGATCCCAGAGATTTCCCCACTTTCTCCCGCCCCCTTCACCTACCTCTAATGGGTTTCATGTAACCCTCCCCCTTATGTCATCTCCTTTGATTCTAGTATATAAAGTAAGCTGCAAAACTGCCTGCAGCAGCTTCTCAATCCATTGAGAGTTTGCTTCCAGGAAAATCCTCAAAATTTTGGCTCATAAACTCTTGCAAAATTTTTCTATAGGCTGGACGCTATTTCCTTGATACGGCCATACCATTGGACTGAGTACACATTCCAGAACTCAAGTGAAGAAGCCGATGGGTTCATAAAACTGCTAACTCAAAACCAAGTACAACAAAAATTAATTATATGGGATTAAATGAACTGATGAAGAAAGACAATCCTTTTTATGGGGTTTTGTTTGGAACATTGCTGGTTCTTTAATGTTCCATTTGCTCTATTTTCTGGATATACGCTTTCTCTTAAGCTATCTATAACGCACAGCAATTTAGTATATTACACCTTAGTTAAAAGAAAAAAAGAAAACACACACACACACACACACACACAGAAACATTTGTCTTTTTCTCCTTATCTGATCCCTCAGAATTCAGAAACTCTTATTGAATATTCTTATTTTCACAGCAATGCAGTTATTTGAACAAGTTCAATAAGAACCTGTTCTCCTTGTAACAGGACATAATTGGAAAAACTGGTTCTATTACCAAAGCTTTGACTAGCATGTCATATTTGAGAATGATGTGCATAGAATCAGATATAACCAGACAGTTTTAAGGAACTAAGGTTGACACTATGACTAAGGTTGAAAGTTTTAAGGAATTAAGTTTGAACATTATGCCAATGTTATAAAGCCGTCTTGGAAAAACCAGCTGGTACCTGACCTATGGGGCTCCCAGCCTACAGGCAAGTAAGAAAGGTCACTTCTGGGCAAGCCCAGGAAACTTAGAATATTTGGGGGAAGTCAAGAAAAGAGAAATTTACCCAAATCTATAGGTAATGCAGATGAAGTATGATGACAAGTTCTTGGCTTGTCATCCTAACCTCGACAAGCTTTTAAAAGTTCAATCTGAGATTGTTTATAAAAGTACCGGCAAAACAAAATTAAAAAGGCCTATGTGGTCAGTTACCATTCTTGCTGCACTTACGTAAATAACCAGGCCAAATTTAATGAGGCTAGACTTATTTTGTGAACAAGAGTAATCTTACTTTGATGATCTTGGATCAAAATGGGAGTGATTGGAGGAAGAAATTTTATGTAAAACTAAAATCTGAAAACCTTGCGGGTTATCAGATTCTAGTCCTGTTCAGTGCGTTTCATCTATTTCTCACCTCTTTGTAAACTGGATCCTGCTGTCTTTCACATTTTGTCAATCGTTAATACTTCCAATTTTTCTCCCACCCTCCCAACTTGGTGTCACTAAGAACTAAAACCTGACTGCCCTGGTGCTTCTTCAGACTAGGCTGTCTCGTCCCAGAGCCCTGCAAACTGAAGCAGGATGACTTGACATAAACCACAAAGGACTTACTGCAGCAGTTCAGGCCGCTCAGGAAGTTCACCAAACATCACCACCTTCCATGCTCTGGTCCAGGAAATAACCATGACTGTGACACCATGTTCTCACTCCATCATCTAAAGATGCTTTGAGCCCGACATCTGAAAATCTTGACTGGCTGCACTCTGGTCTCAGAAACTAGGTGTATAGTCTACTTTAACCATTAATCTTTGTTTTTCTTTTTGTTTCCTTATTCTAACCTCTGCTCTTTTCCTCCTTTACAGATCTCTCACCGTGTAGTTCATAACCCAAATCTTCTCTCCACAGCAATCAGCCTAGCTTCTTTTTTGAGTGAAAACTTCTAGGGAAGTTTCAGACGGGAGAAATGTGGAGACCCACTTACACCCCCAGAATTTGTAGAAAGATTATTTTAAAGTGAAAACATTTGCACTAAAGAAGATGCAGAAAGAAACCTTATCCAAACTTCCCTTATCTGACTAAAGTAGAGCCTCCAGAAAATACAGCTTCCATTAACCCACTCCAAAGTGAGTTTCCTGTGATTTCAGCTTCCGTGGGGACACACAACCCAGTTCCATTAGCATCAAAAAACCCAAAAGAACTTTCCATATCTTCCCATTCAAGTGCTAACCACCACCATCCCCTATACTCCCCTACTCTCCCAAACCCCATTAAGTTTGGTATATAAACCTTTTACCTGTGGGTACTGAGGGAGCTACTCATTTCTAAGTATTCCCGCATATAAGCCTAAATAAAATTTGTTTTTTCTCTTATTAATATGTCTGTTGTCAGTTAATATGCAAGCCCCTAACCACTAGACCCAAGTTAGAAGAGGAAAACTTTTCCTTCCAACATAATCATATCTTCTTATCTTCACACCAGCCCTTTACTATTCTGAAAGAAATTATAATAGAAAAAAACATATCAACACAGTCAAAGAATGCCAAGAATTCGGGAATTTCCAGTATACAAAAATCCAATTTTAAAAAATAATAAAAAATAAAAAAATAAAATAATTCCAATTTTATATGTGAGTCAGTAGGTGGCACCACAGAAGAAAGAAGTGTATTTTGATAAGTGCACAGAAAGCTTGCGTCCTGGAAATCTAATAAAAGCTGTGCCTTTAGACGGTTTGTGTTCTGTTTTATTCTTAAATGTCTTATTTAAACTGAAAACTGCCTCAAGACCTTATTGAAAGCAAACCAAAATGTTTTAAAAATCACAAATAAAAATAAAACTTAGAAAATACCTTGAAAAACATTTTCACATATTGCTGCCAAAAACTAACTCTGGGTTAGACACAAATTATATTGTAGTCAAGAAATACGAGGTCTTCCCAGCTGTACATCTGAGGCTGGTGATCCACTGAGGCAGAAGCAAAAGGGTAAGCACAGAGAAATATATCCTACAAGCCAGAGGGAGCATTTGGGCAGTTCCTAAACGTTTTTGGCATTCCAATTGGGAGGGCAGAGGCTTCTATCATTCATCTACAGAAATATATGTAAAACCCCAGAAATTGTCCCTAGTCAAATGTTAGCCTTTCCACAGACTACAGACCTGAAAAAGACTGAGTTCTAGATACCACACAGAGAGGATTTTGTTTGTTTGTTTCTTAATAAAAATATTCGGCAATGTCAGGAAAGAATATTCCTTACATTCTTAAAGATACCTCACACATTCGTCTTGCCATTCTTCCCCGTCCCAAACCAACATCGCAGCAGGACATCACCCACAATGCAGTTCCTAAACTAAACTCATTCTGCTATGTTGACTAAAATACAGAGATCTGTTCCCCTTCTACAGACCTGATAACACTCTATCGGCTTAGGGAGTGCTTCTCCCCAAGTCCTCCCTTCCAACCAGGTCCACGCTGTGGGCCTCCACTTACCCTGGCAAATTCCATTGGTTTGGGAAGAAGGCACATGACCATGACATCAAAGCGAACATCACAAACTGTCTTCAACCACTTGGTGACAAACTGAGGCTTCAGCTTTTCCACCAAACTTCCAACTTCATCATCCATCATGTACGCTGTGGAGTGAAACCACTGGAACACCATGGCCACCAGCCTGGCCAAACTTTCTGTGGGCGTGTTCTCACTGGGCGTGCAGAGGCTCACCTGGAAACAGGCAGATTAGACTGATTCAGCCGCCATCCATCTTTACATAAGTATTGTATGTTCATTTAAAGACAAAAGGAAAAAATGATGACCCAGGTAATCCATTTGAAACAGGCAATTTTCTAAATGGTGGATCACTTATCTTGGGAACTATGTTCCTCTCTACAGGGAGAGGTGGATTGCAACAGTAATTTCCCCTTAAGAATTGCATCTTCCAATAAGCGTTTTCTCCTCTAAGAAATATGTGACATACAAGTAATCTGCACTAGATAAATGCTTTTAGAAAGTTAAGTTTATAGAGTGAGATTTCATAAATATCTTCAGTGAAAAAACAACTGTATACATTTCAGTTCTAACAGGATCAGGTTTGGCTAAGAATTTCTATCAGTAGTAATTCTGTTAGAGCCCCCCAATTCACTGTATTATAAACAGAATTTTTAAAACAACTCATTTAGTTATTCAATCATTCTTAACTAATCTTTTGTTGAGCAGTGTAGTAGGGTTCAGGAATATAAAAAATAAATAAAACACTATCCTTGCCTTCAAAGAGTTCACAATAATAGTCATTGTGTCACTCGATAATAAATTCTAGGAATAAGACATGTGAAATCAACAATGAAATCCCAATTTGGTTAATAAAAAAGACTTTTTCAGTTAACCATATGAAAGAGATGAATCACCATGGAGACTTTAATGCATGTCTCTAATGGGTGAAAACAAAAGTCCGCTTCTCTGAAGGACCGGCCAGTTCTGCTTGCTTGATACTTTGGGTCTGTATGCCTGATCCTTACTAAATGAATGTGGCAGTTGAATCAGTCAGTAGCCATCAAATTCCTTGTGTTAGTTTGGCTCTAATTTTTTTGGTTGTAGGCAGACTTGCCACAAATACACAAAAAGCTCCACAGAAACAGAGCTTGGAAGGAAGTTTTCATGTATACCTACAATGGGATGGGAAAGATGGGTAAATCATACTGAACCCAGTATGTCATGATATACCCTAGCAACTTTCCCATTTGTTTCCTGGCAAAAGGTGCATTTCAAACCGCCTAGGGCCTGGCACAGAGGTGTCAACACCTGGCTATTCATTAGAATCAACTAGAAAGCTTTTCAAAAGTTCCCAAGATTCTAGAGTAGAAGCTGGGCATTGTCATGTTTTAAAAGCCTTTTAAAAGGTAAATCGAATGTGTGCCCCAGAGTTGAGTGCCACTGTCCTAGAGTACAGAGTCCCATTGCTAAGGTTGGTTTTTCACTATTTATCTTCTTTAAAAAAAAAAAAGGAGAAAAAAGGCAAATTAAGATAGAAAGAAAAAGAAAAAAAAAAAGAAAGGAGCAATCCCTCGTCAGTGTAATGTTGGAAGGACAAATAAGAACGTAGAACACAGTTAACTCCTTTCTTACTAAGAACCATATTCCAAATTGACTGAGTAGCCGCTGGTCATGTTTATCATCGTCCTTGTTGTCAAAGTCAGCGTTCTCCAGGGAATGGTGGGAAGAGGAAAGTCCCAGCTGCCGCCGGCGATTCAGCTCATATTCCCGCTGCTCAGCATGGAACTCGGCTTCTTTCAACAAGCTGCCAATGAAGACAGACTTAGAGTGAGGCTATCGGAAAAACACATTTTAGATTGTGACCCATGCAGAGCAATGGCTTCATAAGTACTCAAGCATCACTGGTTGCTGTCTTTTAAATTGGTGGGAGTTACTTCAAAAAGCCTAATTTGATTTCCTGACTATTCTGTACTCTATCCCATTTCAAAGATGAACACACTGAGGTACAAAGAGGCTACTTCCTCCAATCAATAGAATCAAGCAGAACTGATGCCTTCTGGCTTCTGGCTCAGCACCCGTCCCACTAGAAGTCAATGTTTCCCCTGTGTCTCATGTAAAGCTCTGTGGACATCAAATGCATGATACGAGGAGAGATGGAGGAACTTGTACCCAAATGGAAAAATATTCAACGTCTAGTATTCAGAAACCTGAACATGAGCAACAAAGACTCCTTTTTCCATTTGCTAAACAAGTGACAATTTAAAAAAATAATACCCAGTGTTGACAAGGGTGTAGCAAAAACTAGCAGTTTCATACAGTGCTACTGGCATCATCGATTCATAAACACACTTGGAAAATCAGTTTGGTAATGTATCAAAGGCCAATAAGATAATCATACCCTTTGACCCAGTCAACCACATCTGGTCATCTACCCTAAGAGAATAAAAACTACAGGAATAGCGCTATGCACAAAAATATTTACCAGTTACTTTTAATAGAAAAAAAATTGGAAGCAATCTAAATATTTAATGGTGGAAAAAATAATCTAGACGAATATTATGTAGCCACTAAAACTGATAAATATGGAAACTGTACAACAACATAGAAAAGAGCTAATGGTATAATGTTATATTAAAAAGAATTGTGGATACCCTGTGATTACAGTAATATAAATAAAACATGCATTTGAGTAAAAGTAGAAGAACATGTGTAAAATGAATGATGATGACAGCAGCATGAATGATTTTTTTTTCTATTTCCAGACTTTCTGTAATGTTTTATTTGACAAACATTCATCCCATTTCTACATGTGTCATCCAGTAGGAAAAAAGAAACAGAAAAGACTTAGTTAGCTCCTATCCTTAAAACTTATTATTTCTTTAATTTTTAAAAATCTTGCCTCAATAAATATTATACAAAAAGAGAACAAGTCCAGGCGTCACCATTTCTAAAGCTCCCATCTCTGCCATGTGACAGAAGGAGAAAAAGCCAGGAGCCTGTCTTACTCCACAGGCTTCTGGTTGACCCCCGTACTGAATTACCTAGAGCTCTCCCCAGCTTTGCTGCTGTCAGTCAAGCCTCAGGCAGCCCCATTCCCTACCTCTCACTTTGATTGGTGCCCCCACTTCATTTCCCTAAGACCCTCTGCTCTGTGCTATCCCTGTGCTCACCATTCTGAATCACAACTCCATGCTCACCTGAGGGCAGGGAATACATCTGACTCTCTTCTGCCTCCCCAAGTGCCTAACTCATGCCTGGCACATAACTGCCATTCGATAAAAATGTGTTGAATGAATGAATTAAAACATCATCATTGCAACTTGAAGTTGAAATTTACACCCCTCAATGCAAGAAGGGTGGCTCAAAACCAGGACGGTGTTTTCGGAGTAAGCTACTAATAAACTGCCTGTTACCTAATCACGGCCTCCACGGCGCAGACGAGCTCCTCAGCACCACATTCTCGAGTGTTGATGGGTGGAGGGGAGGTCTGGTAGAGGTGGGTCTCCGAGGCAGCCCCCACTTCATTACTGTGATGGTTTGAGTGGCATCTTTTGCAGTACCGAACAGGCCTGTTTCCATGGCGATCGCAGCACCCTGCTGAAAAGCAGGTGACAACTGCTCTCCTAACATGGGAACTGCAGTTCTAGAGGCAAAAAAAAAAAAAAAAGCGAAATCAATTAAAATTAATCGCTGAGGTAAACTGGACTAAGAATTCGAATGAATGGAAGCTTACCGGGCCACCGGAAATGGCAGCACGTTTCTGAAGTGCCACTAGTTCCCAAAATGCAGGTCATTTCTAACCAGTTAGATTCCAGTCACAGTTAAAAATAAAGGTGAGAAGTGGTTTCTACTAGTGTAAGCGGTAGAAATGTTCTGCATATGAGTACAACTGTGCTGAAAAGCCCTCTGTAAAGTTACCTCAGTCGTGGGGGCAGGGAGACCTTCAGGATTATTTCATGTTAACGTTTCAAGAGTTTCTCAGGACAAATATGAAGAAAAAAATTAAAACCATGGTCCAGAGCGAGCACATCACAGCACATCAGCATAGAAAAAGAACAATTTTAACACCCAGCATAACCTTTCAAAATTATTTTATCCACCACTGAAAGAGCCAATTTCCATGGCAGCTCATCTGTCCTTGCTGCATTCAGCGACAGGTCGGCATGTATTGCACTGAGCTGATGGCCCCAAAAGCAGGCCTTTCCACTCCTGCCAGCACCCCTTCTGTCAAGACCTAAAGTATAGTCAATGACACTACGGTAACATTAAAACGCAATAAGAACCTTTCATATAGAGTCAGCCACTGACATCTACAGGAAAGGAATCGAAAGATGAAGTGATGGAAATGAGAAATGTGGAGCAGCATAAGATTCCAAAGTTCCAGGGGGCTAGTGTCAGATCTGCCCTGACAAGAGGCAGAGGAGCGAGGCAGCGAAGCCCTGTCAGGAAACATCCCTGACCTCCACAAAAGCATGTGCCCCAAGCCTGTTAGACGTGCCACCACCATGTACTCCATGTCTTGTGTCCAGAGAGTTTTTCAGTCTTTCAATAGAGCCTAGAAAGATGTGAACACGTCTAAGGGAAATAAGATACTAAGCCATTATTTGAGAACCCTCCATGACAACTATTTTGGAAAGATAGAAGAAAAGAGAATGCAAGCACAAAACCCGTATCAAAACATTGACAATGGGGCGGCTGGATGGCTCAGCTGGTGAAAGCATGTGCTCTTAACAACAAGGTTGCCGGTTCGATTCCTACATGGGATGGTGGGCTACGCACCCCCCCCAACTATTTAGATTCAAAACGGCAACTGGACTTGGAGTTGAGCTGAGCCCTCCACAACTAGATTGAAGGAGAACGACTTGACTTGGAGCTGATGGGTCCCAGAAAAACACAATGTTACCCAATAAAAATTAAAAAACAAGCAAACAAACAAAAACATTGACAATGTATTGAACTGTCCATTGGAACGACCATTTCAAAGTAAGGTTTTTTTCCACTTCAATTTTAGCAAGATGCTCTGGATACTAGTGTTGGGAAATCTCATTTTCTGAGCAGGACTCAGGCCAAAAAATCATAAAAACAAGTTTAAATTTTTCATTATCTATTTCTTTTTAATATATATTTTTTTAATTACTTGTTAAAATACAGTGTTTTCTTCTGCATCTGAAGCCCAGGCCTTCTCTGGCATTCAAGTCAGCCCTGACTACTCCAAGTGGAGAACTTTTCCTTTCTCTCTTTCACACACTAAATTTCATTCTGGAAGCACACAAATCTTTATTGGTTTGGGGCTTCTCTGTTCACCCACCAAACCAATACCACACCACGAGCAGTGTGGTATATCCCAGAGTATATTTTTAGTGTTTATTTCTTCCTTTTGGTTATAATTAGTCTTTGTCCCCTGGGATTCACACTGTCATTACATAAATATGATGTGGATATGGGTTTAGCATGTCGTAATTTGCTATAACAAAGTCCTGAAGTTTAAGGCCTGTAATTTCCCATCCTATTTTCTGGTCACAAATTATTTACATTCTTCCCATATGCAAATTCCTGACTGGAAGTCCAAGGTCTTCTCATGTAAATGAAGTCCAGCTGTGGATGAGGCTCTTTGGGTTTGGTTCCTCTGGTATGCTTCCTTGAATCTATGCCTTGAATCTAGACGGGCTTGTGGCTACTTCCACCAAGAGAGTATGGCACGAGCAATACTTACGTGACTCCCAAGGCCAGGTTATAAAAAGATATGCAGCTTCTACCTGACTGTCTTGGAACGTTTTCTCTTTGGAAGCTTGCTCATCAGTAGGGATATGCTTCTCAGAACTCTGCTATGGCCAAGCCCCATTGAGAGGCAATGTAGAAGTCTCTAGTCAACAGTGCTGGCTAAGCCTGGCCTTCAAGCCACTCCACCCCAGAGTCCAAACATAGGACCTAGAAGCCTCTAGATAATTCCATCCCCCAGCTATTCAAGTCTTTGCAGATGAGGTCTCAACCATCATCAAGCCGAGACAGGCTGTGGCCTGTCTACATCCCTAACCCACAGAACCTGTAAGCATAATTAAATGGCTGTTGTTTTACGTTGCTACATTATCAATGGTTTCTTATGCAGTATCTGGGTATACAGCATCTATTAGCATCTGGAATACCAACTAAAAGTGAACCTGCTCTATCACCATGGGCCAGCAACTCTAAATAATATCAGCAATGAAATACTTTGTCCCAAAATAATGTTTGGTTGGTCAAAGTTCTAAACAATTGCTGTGGTTCCTACTAATTGAAAAACATATTTACAAGCCACAGTTGGTCTCAATCCATGTGGACTCAGCTACATGGATTCATTTCAAAGTTAAGAGAGATTTCCCTTAGATTCAGATTCAGCTGGTCATAGTCTTCAAATGTTCACACCAGCCACTCTCTTTCATTCATGGCTTTGAATTTTAAACATAAATAAATAGTTCCAAGTAGTCCCATAGAAAAACAGAATTGAAATAAATCAAGGTCTACCTCTTATCTTTATAATTTCGATGTTTATTTCAAACCTACAGTTCAAATGCACGAACATGTAATACCAAAAGTACAAACTGTGCCCAAAGCAGGCTCAAACAATTCTGAACTGTTATGAACTTAATGGGAGTTCTCCAAATTAGCATTTATATAAAACACAACATTTATTAAAGGGTAAGTAATAAAAATGTGCTAATTTGAAGCTTATTGCTAAAAATAATTCTGTCACATAAAGGAAAAGTGTTAAAAAAAAAAAAAGATCCACTCTGACCACTCTGAGAGTCAAATATGTTAGGTATACCTTCAGAGCCAGAACATGCTTATTTAGAAAATACAACTGTCATCCAAGTCTCTACAGCTTCTAAAAGATTCTCAAAGTAAGAAATAGCCTCAGGATAAAAATCAAATCAGAAGTTTGCTGAATGACTGTATAATCTATTGTTAGAACTTCAGAATGATATAAGGTGATGCCCAGTTGAGCCTCTCAGCTAGAACAGGGCTTCTAATGATGTTAAGAGCAGACTAAAATGCCTAAAATACAGAAAGGACTGTCTCAAAAAGAATTATTGATGCAGTTCTAGGCGCACAGCACCCCAATGAGATTCACTGAAAATCCACAGTTTTAAAATCATACTAGCAAAAGCACCATCAGCTTAGACTAAAGGGGAGAGACAGTTGCACATGAAGACAGGTCTGTGAGACCCCCTCACTTCTATATGCCGGAAGCAGACTGAAAGAGTTCCTCAGCTGCAACATAGGCCGTTTCATATTGAAAAGGAAAGATGTCTCAGGGAGTGCAGCACCAGACCCAGGAAGTCAACAATGGCTGAAGGAACTACCCCCCAAGAAGCAAAACCAGGTCCAATTGAAGGCATACTCACTATCCTCAGAGACAGCAACTGTTGACATATTCATGGTTGGAGCTGCTTCAAACAAGTGAGTGCCATCTGCTTTCTCTCCCTCGTTTTGAACAGAGGTCTACTGCTGTCATCCTGTCCCTATCTCACCATTGTGTCTTGGGTGTGTAGGGGACAGATAACTTGCCTATTTGGTTCACAGGTCTCTGGATCAAGAGAATTTGCACCCAAAAAGTTTCATCAGTGACCTGACCAGATGCAGATCAACAGGTTAATAGACTTTAAGCCTGAATCCATAAATGGATAAGACTTTTGAAGGTCTTATGAGGCGGTGAAAGTACTTTGCATATGGGGAGAGCATAAGTAATTATGTCCAGAAGGTAGATGAAATATGACCACAAAATTATTGCTGCTATATAAAGGGAAGGAGTCTATTTCCCCTACTCCTTGAATCTTTGACTAATGGAAGGCAGCAGAAGTGATGCTGTGTGACTTCTGAGATTCAGTCTCAAAAGGCCTTTCAACTGCCTCTTTCATTCTCTCAGAACATTGCTGCCATATGAACAGTTCCAGCCTAGCCTCCTGGAGGATGAGACACCTAATGGAAAGAGGGAAAGCCAGATACCCCATCATCCCAACCATTCCAGCCATCCCAGCAGAGGCCCCAGACAGGGAAGTGAGGTCACCTGGGGCCAGCCAATTCCCAGCCTCACCACCAAGTGATGAAAATACATGAGTGAGCCTAGAGGAGTTTATCCAAAGAAGCCTAGTTGAGCATAGCCCAGATTGACAATCCACAGAATTGTGATCAAATAAATGTTGGTTGTTGTAAGCCACTACATTTTAAGATGGTTTATCCTACGGCAATAGATCAATGGAACAGCCCTCCAAAGGTACCCACTCATGACCAACTCCTAAAAAGTTTAAATGACTTGTATATGGTCTCATAGGTAGGTGGGAATAGAGCCGGCCAGAGTCCAAGTATCTCAACCAACTAATCCAAAGTTTTTATACGACACCATACTACCTTCTCTTTGTACTTTTCAACAACAACTAGAACAAAAAAAGAAGATAGAAATGGTTTAGGGAAACTGTCATTAAAAGTGGCTAAAGGAAATTTGAAAGCAAAATCTTTAACTAGAGATATCATTCAACGTACATGTAAAGGAATACTTTTCATATATAGTCAGTCTGAGTATGTTTTGACACATATATTGGACTATTTGCAGTCCATTTCAAAACAATAAAGGTTTTTAGCATACAAGATATATCCTTTGCCAAAGTTAAGTTGCACATATCATACTGTCATTCTAACATTTTTTTAATTAGAGTTCTATTCCAGAGCTAGACATGTTTTTATTTCAGGTAACTTATCAAACACACTGTGCATAAAATGGGTGAGCAAAAGCAGAAATGGAAATAGAGGCCATTTGGACATAGTAATCTTGCATGCTAAATTATTTCTTGTCCCCCTTAACGAATACAGTGACATGTACATACTGGGAAACCATGGTGCAGAAATGAGGCAGATGTCAATGAATGAATTTACGTACAAACACAGCGAATCATGCCCCACCACACAGATGGTTTGCTCTTACCTTCTTCTGACATATGGCAGATATTTCAGCTGTAAGGGGAAGGTACACAAAATATCAACAAAGAAAAAGAGCCCATTTTCAATAAGGGCAGCCACGCAGGGGAGTAAAAACAAGCTTAGTAACATGACCACTAGACTTGGCCAAAACAGCTTCTCACTTGTCTCATAAATTATCATCTACTTATGTTCAATGAGGTTAAAAACGCCTGCATGCTACAAATACTTCACCTATTCTAACAAATAATTCAACCTTCTCAGATACAACTTAGAATGCAGTGCATGTTGAAGCCAAGTAACTTTAATGTTAAAGCCAAATAACTTTAATCTCACCTCCTCATTTGACAGAGAACAAAACTGAGGGCCACTTATAATAGCATGACTTCTTGAGGATCACACAGGCTACCAATGGTAGAAGCCGAATCCATATGTCTGTGGATTTTCTGTTCACTACTGTTCAATTATACTATGACACTGAGTTGATGTGATATAGTTAGAGCTTCACCGTGGAGATGATTTGCTATATCAGAACTATAGAAGAAACTTGCTAACTTGGATTACTTAGATTCGAACTATCAACTTATATCAGTCTTTAACTAGTTTAGAACCAGCTGCATGACTTTTTAAGAGAAAGCAATTTTCAAACCCATGGATTGGCCAGTTGGAGTAAGGCTGTCTGTCAAACTACTGTCTACTTTAGGACTGACCTCAACGAATAGATAAAAAATCATTTTAGTGGGCATCCAATTGTTTCCATGAAAATTAATACTTGAGAGCACTTGAAAAGCATTTTTCCAAGAATATGTTAACATATCCCCTGAAATAGTTAAGTGTTCAAAAAATGGGCTAAACTATTACTTACAGTATAGTCTATGTTATAGTTTATTCAAAAGAGCAAAGGTAAATATCTCCCAAAACCTGCCTGGAAATTATGAATTAGTGGATGTTAAATCAATGAAATTTACAGCTCGGTTTTTAAAATTTACAGCTAGTTTTGTATAATTAATAGTTATTTAACAGTTTGATATCTTAGAGTTTATCTTAATCTGAGGGCACATCTCTATATAAATAAAGTTATTAATAACTTTCTTCCAAAGATGTTATCTAGAAATTATGACCAGTATTCTGCAAGATATCTGATATTTAAAATGTAGCTTAGGACACGACTATGGTTTTTGCCTCAGATTATTGGAAGTTTGCTAACAAGGTAGCCTAATTTAAGGGGAGGAAAGTTACCTTTCCTCATACAAGCCCAAATCTATTGGCAGATATTCTTATACAATTTTTCAAAATGTCTCTTTGAAGGATATAAAGGCTGACATTATTGATCCATTAGACAGATGGAGGGAACTCACTAAATTATTTTTTAAGGTTGAGATGACCTAATATTGAAAGTTAAACTACAAAGAAATAGTATGATTATCAGCAACGGCCTTACATTTAAAAAATGTTCACAGAATTTAGGTAACATAAGGTTTTTACATTTCTTTTTAAATGAAGCCTTTCGCCTTGTTTTGTTTTTCTCATATTCTTTTATTATCTCCCTCTGAAGTCATACGTCAAGTTCTTCCTGTGTGCCTGACCTGTGCTCAGGATGCTCCCAGCTTCTCCCACCTTTCATCTTTCCTTGCTTTCCACTGCTTTTCCTTGTCATTTTGGCCTCCACTTAGGTGGCTGGAATACCTGCTTCCCCTTGGGTAGAGGAATTCTACCTTACCTATCTGATCCGCCAACTTACCGGGCACAGCTTTCAAAACTAACAAAAGGCAAGCATTACGGTCTTGTCTTTTCATGGAGATGAGTCAGATATACTTTATCCCCATTTTACTGAGTCTCAGAGAGATTAAATGATTTTCCCTAAAAACCCAGAGCTAGTAATAGTGTCAGGAAAAAAGTCTCATGATTCAGGGCTCTTCCTGCTGGTGTTCCTTATTCCCCTTCTGACCTGGCACAGCAAACGTGGCATTGGCAACACCGTTCTATATACAGAAACTCCCTTAAGACAATTCAGCAGGGCTTGAGTCATACAGGATCCTAATTCCAGCATCTATTTTGGTAGAGATGATACCTTTTCCCTCATTATTAAAATGTGCAGGCATATTATAAGCGAGACATTGATATAATGCTTCATATCAATGAATATTCATAGAATGTAATACTTTGGTTACCGTCTTTGTAAAATAAAACAGTACAAAAGGAGACAAATCAACCATGTCATCAGTCATGATTACTCATTATTCATTCTTTCTGAAGTAAACCATACCTTGCGGCAGAAGAACATCAATCAACCATTCACTGTGGTCCCTATGAAGAAACACAAAATTCATTTTTGAGCTTCTTAGCAATGTTACCCTTCCACACAAATGTTTATAAGCTGCACGCTATTGCTAAAAGGCTTTTAATAGAAAGGAAGTGTAATTAAGAGCACTATCATAATAAACTTTTTAAATGTCTAATGCATTCCAGCTAAATTATAAATTATAGGCATTTAATCATATTCAGTTATCTTTCAATGATACTTTCCAGATGCTAATTAAGCCAACCAAAATACAGCATGATTTGTACAAAGCTGAGTGTGATTCTGTGAAACTAACAAGCAAAGAGAACCCATGTGAATTATATGTCATGTTTGCAAACCACAGTTTTATGTTTCACTGTGGCTATTTTAACAGGGTCATTTGACAATTGCAGCTGCTTTATTAAGCGGAATTGCTTTTTCTTGTTACACAGAGAGAACTATTACAACTTTTCAAAGCTCAAATCTTTCAAACGAACGTTTGCTATATATTAAATATCCGACAAAGCAACCTCTAAAAAACAGAGAGGTTAATTTAATGGGAGACGTGGGTAATGTAACCAATTTCAGTCCAAGTGACTGTTCTTATCTTCTCACTGCTGCCCTATTTCCTTTACTTTGAGGACCCTTGTACCTACCCCGCGATCCTCTGGCTGCATTCTTCACAGAGATACAATGGGGGTGGCTTATCACCCAAAGCTACTGACAGGGAAGGGTCTATACACATCTGAAACACATGAAAAGACAGAATGAGCTCTCTTGTCCTGTTTATCACATTCCTGATATCGTGAACACAAATGTTTCAATAATAGATTTTCGAAAGCAAAGTAGAATAAATATTTTTAGTAAAACCCATTCAACCTATAACTGTTTTTCTTGCACTGGCCAATGAGTCCACACTAGAGATTTATATGTGGCTGCTGTGGTTTTTTCATTTCTCCTGTTATTTGTAATTCAAGAAACAAATAACGTCAAGAAATCTACCCTCATTCCACAAATATAAAAAATCATCTTGTTCAACGGCTACTCAAATTGCCTCAATATTACTCATACAGTAATTCCTTCCCTAAAGTGGTAAACATTGTAATCTTTCTTTAGGAAAAGGAAAATATATTAAGATTAAAAATTATAGCTATTACCAAAACGCTGGCAGTAGAGACTTTTGTCACTTAAGACAGAAATTTAGCCTTCAACCCAACATAGAGTGATTCACTTTCCCTACACTGGAATCTAAGTTCTATATTAATCATCCAGTGCTTCATTTTCAGGTGTTTTTTTAAATTCTACATGTGACCTATAGTTTGTTTAACCCTAATGTGCCCTGTTCAATTTTGGGTGAATTATGGCTGAGTTTTCATTAGCCTAAGCACAGAGATAAAAAGTGTTCACTTCACAGTTGATCATCAGGGTATATCAAATATCTGGATGTTTTAAATCCAGTGAACAAAACAATTCAGATGACTAGCTGGATTTTGTACTTGGTATCAGTTTAAGTTTCTAAAACTTACCGAAGTCATTTTGAATTCTGTTCATGCCCTTCAAGAAATAATCAATCCATGCTACAGTCAATTATGCAGTTAATATGCCTAGTACACAAATTCTTCCGCCTTTTCTTTAGTTGTTTTCACTGATTTCACTGAAGGTGAAAAATGAACCAAACTCATAGCTCAAACAGCCTGTCATTTAATTAAAACCCTGAGAAGTTTCAGTGATTGCAAAAACAAGAGGTAGAATTTCTAAATTTAAATAATTACACCATCAAAATATGTAAATTACATGTATCCTAATGCTAAAGGCCCAGTGTGAAAATTTTCCTTAAGTAAGTTTCATGCTTCCTTTGAAGCAAAGAATAACTACTTTTTGGTGTGTTAAATTAGGGATTGGCAAACTTTCTGTAAATGGTCAGAGAGAAAATATTTCTGGCTTTGCAGGCCATAGGATCTCTGTTACAACTACTCAACCCTGCTGTGGTAACATGAAAGCAGCTATAGACAATAAATACATGTGCAAATGAGCACAGCTGTGTTCCAATAGAACTTTATTTACAAAACAGGCAGCAGGCCAGATTTGAGTGTGGGCCACAGTTTGCTGACTCCCACGTTAGACAATTATCTGAACTCCAAAGTATTCTGTATAGCGAACACAGAACCAAGTAAAACCAAAAGCAGAATGTGATATAATGAACTGTAAGGTGCAACATATTTTCATTTTGAATCCTATCACAACAACTCTTGGCTCTTGCCTAAACAGTACTTTTTTGCAATCTATTGCAACAAAAACAAATAATACTTTTCTATTTGGCAAATCATTACTGCCTAGTGATATAGCTCACTATTATGGAGGTTTTAGGCTTTTGGTGAGGGTAAACCCATTTTCCCTGAGTCTTTCCCATGCAACCCATGGAGACCTCTTTTTCATCTTCACTTTCATCTCTAACAGGTCGCTGATACCTCTGTCAGGTAAAGATATTTTTCCATTTCACTCAAAAGGAAAAACTCTTAGGATGTTAGAACTATAAGGACTCAATAGAGATTAGCTAATTGACCTCTGATATCTTAATTAATTAACATGACCCATCAAATTTGTGGCTAATAGTGTCAATTTTATTCTACTCAGAACAGTTCCTTTTACACCCATATTAATATGTTCATATCTGACTATTGCATTAAGAAATATTTATTTTCTATTTATAAATATAATATATACCCAATGTAGAGGATTGGGAAAATAGAGAAAAGAAGAAAATAAATAACTCATTAACCCTCCATCTCAATGCAGTCACTGGTAACATTCTGATGAGCATTACTGGTTGCTTTTAACTATGAGTATGAATATAAATACAGACACATGTAATTTTCAAACTAGATTGGCATCATACTATACAATTTCATAATTTCCCTTTCATTTGCCATTATTCTGTAGGCATCTGGATGTTGGATACCCTTGATCTACCTGTCATAAGATCATATCCACATAGGTTTCGGGAGTGTTCATACTGTAAGTAAAGAACAACATTGCGACAAACCCGTTACTATGCAAAAACATGTCTTGTCATGCTAACAAGAATGTTACCTTTCTCGGAAATATAAGGTGAAAATACAAAAGGAAGTTTTTTTAGGAAAACTGGGGTTCAAAAAGTACAACTTGGGGGTGATGAAAGTGTTTTAGAATCAGACAGAGGTGATGGTTGCAAAACATTGTGAACGTACTAAATACCACTGAATTGTTCACTTTAAAATGGTTCATTTTATGTTATGTGAATTTTCCCTCAATACAAAAATAACAGAAAGTAGGCTGGTTTGGCCTATCCTGGAAGACTGGCTATAGAGAATAGCCTGTGAGAAAAATGAGGCCAGGCCAGAGAAGTGGACTGGGTTGTCTGCCTAGAAGAGAGGGAGAATATCTAATTTGTGATGATTTCTGTGAGTAGGAGGTCAGAAGTTATTACTAATCAGGAAGTCAGAAGCCTCCTGAGAATGCACTCTGACATAAAATCAAGGAAAAAAACAAAAGTCAGAAAGTACCTTCTTCCTGTTGACTTCTGGGCAAAAGAGGGCGCTGTAACTTAGGCAAGAAGAAGAAAGGAAGGATATAGACACTAAAGGAACCATGAAAGTCTCACCACTGTGAAGACTTAAGCTGAGTTCCATGAGTAATATATGAAGTAACATGTGTTTATCTCAAAAGGTCCTCACACCACAGAAAAGTACCTCTGAACCTCAAATGTCTACGGAAGTTCAGAGGAGGGGAGCACCTAGCAGAATAGGAGAGGCCTGTGCTTCCATTGGTGGGTTACCCTCACTTGCTCTTTCTCAACACAAATTCATTTAATTTGCCTTCATCAAAAGCAGAGACCAAGCATAATAAAAAATACATCCTTTGTTAGTAAGATATATCTAGATGACAATGTTATTATTGGCACTCCTCTGCCACCTTTGGTATACGAAACACACTTTTAGTTCCATTTATATGTATATTTCTTATATCCCATTTTACCTCTTCTACTTTTTTTCTATAGAGTGATAGTGTTATTTTTCTATTATTTGATAATCTTTATAGTTTACCTATCTATAGAACAAGGGAGGCAAACTCCCATGACCCTGGGTTCTATTGGGTCATCAGGAAAGTCATGACGCATTTTTGCATTGAAAAACATAGAAAAATACGTCATGACTTTCCCGACAACCCAATATAACGTAACTGAACTCTAATCACTTGACCTAACTCCTTCTCATGCTTCATAATATAAAAATTAACCCTTGTAAATCCAGACACAGGTCTCTCCAGCCAAGTGTTATATCCAACAAATATTCCATAAGTAATTTTGTTAAAAGGTAAGATTAATTTTCTTAACATTCAACTTCAAATATTCAAGGTTATAATACTACCGCACCAATTTGATATGGTAGTAAAAGAACAAGGCTGAGAGTCCAGGTACCTGGTTTGGGCTGTGTGAACTTAGGAAGGTGACTTGACCATCACCTCTAATGTAACTTTCTATGTGTTTGCTGTTCAGCTACCTCTCAGTCATTTCAGCTAAGTCATATCTGAGATCTGAGCTAAGACTTAACAATTTTTTCTATTTTTGTCCTATGATTCTTGAATTCACATAGTCACACAACCAGACACTCATAATTTGTAACACACACATGAAAGCAGGGGCAAAGAACATTTCCCTGAGTTTATAAGAAGCCAGATAGAGGTCAGTTAAGGATTATGTAAGTGTTTCACCAGGATTATTCTGATATTAGATCAATGCTACACAGCACTTGGCTATGAACTCATAGCCAAATCTGTAATCACAACTGTGTATTGCTTTATCTTGAACCAATCCTCCAAAGTACACTCAGATTGAATATGGAGGTTCTTGAGATTACTACAGAGCACAAGCCTCTGCTTTATAAAGAAAACTATAAACTACTCCATTTCACTCAGCAATTTGCTCCTGATAATTTGACCACTGACAATACATCATGGCACCAGGTCGAATAAAACAATACCTTCACAGCTGGTTTGTTAATTGCGTTGTGGCATTCAATGTGCTGGCAGTGGATGGGATTCCAAGCTGTAAAGCAAAGCATAGCTGATGAATACTTCTCAGTGAAATTATTTGCACCCTAGTAAAAACACGCAGATACTTCATTCGTTTTCTTTTTCCTACATAGAACCATCATCAGAAGGCTCCCTAAAATAATCATTTTTTTAATCTATGAAAAAATTTTAAATTGAGCAAAGATATCACAATTCCATCATCCATTTTCCCATGGGAAGAGATAAGCTAGTATAAGGTAGCAGACACAATACCATAATATTACCTTACAAGATATACCATTAGTAAATTCTCAAAGGTTTTTACATCTACGGTTTCACTGGATCCTCCCAACAACTCTGTGGGACAGGTACAGCATATGATTAACCTCATTTCATATATGAGTAAGTTAAAGTTTAAAAAGATAAGTAGTTTGCTATGATTACAGGGTTAGTAAATGACAAGCTGGGATGAGAACCTGTATCTCTTGGTTCTTGACACTTTGCTCTTTTCTCTATAATATGCTATGCTAAACATCCCAGATTTTTGGCACCAGGAAGTGTTTCAAATTGATAATTGCTGAAACGAATAGTAAGGCAACCTCTACCATTTCATTTTCCACCCCATCCCCATCAAATGCAAAGACTGGAAAGATGAGTTTCTTGCCCAAATGAAATGCAGCTCTCTCTCACATGTGACCGACAAATTAAACCTCTGCTAGCTTGCTAATACACAACTCCTTAACACAGTATACACACAGAGAATGGGAACAAGAACCAAGTGATCTAGGATAGATCAGAATGAGAATCACAATAAGTAATTATCATCATCTAGATGCTGCTGTAGCCCAAAGCTCTTAGCTAACAATATTCCACCATAAAAAAAGTAATAGGATTGTATGTTTGAAAGTAGGACATTTTTCTAAATTGCCATATTCTAATTTTACAGGGCCATGACTGGCCTATTATAAAAGAATTTGCAAGTGAAAGAATATTTCTACTTAGTTACATATCAAATTATAATTCAAAAATATTTACTATTAATGACCAAGGCCTCATTTATGTTCCAATCATTTTATTAAATTTTCTATCTAGAAGTAGTTTATGCATAACTTCAAACTGTCTATCCTATTGTTAGACCACACATAATATTTTGTGTCTGACCTGAAATTCAAGAAAATATGATCAACAGAGCCACTGACTTTAGAAAATATACAATGGATCTATTTATTTAAAAAGAAGACAAGAAGTAAAGACAAGAAGTAGTATGTTATTATACTACTCTAATAACATAGTATCATACTGATGATATTTTTAGAGAGGGGAGGGGGGGAGGGAGGAAATGAATAAGGGATGGGTAAATGAAGAAATTATTTTAATACAGGCATTCAATAATTATAAGATTTATTTCCTACATGTGGAAAAGTCAGGGTGAACATAGAGAGCAGCAACAAGTTTTCTTGTACAATTGAAGAAACTTGAGAAAAAGACTGCCTTTACCCAGTACAGGAGGTGCAAATACATGAGGCATGTGGCCCCATTCCTACAACCCCAAATTCATGACAGATATCACTAATTTATAAGAGCATTCCTTCCTAGTCCAGAACTGGCTTTAGAATCTTTCTCAAAAATTAGCTCGAGGAAGTCACCACTAATCAAAACAGACTTGGCACACAAGATAAAATCTGCTAACGATCCCTGAATCCATGTATTACAAGAATATTTGCATATTACTTTATAAACATCAAGGAGAGTTTCTTGACACTTATATTCAAAGCATGTAACAACTGCTATGGCACAAATCAGAATGTACAATAGCCATAGCACTTGATCAGGGCTCTAAAGACTCCTGTTCTGCCAGAGATTGATGCTTTATATGCTGAGAGTGGGGATATCCAAGTGGTCCTACTCTTCTAATTTTTTATTCCATTTTTACAAAGTGTCACAGAAATAAGAACAGGTAGTAGGATTCCTCTTTTAAGTTCACCAAAGTCACACCAGATTTAAGCTTACTAGAAAAGTAAACCTTAGTTTTTGTTGTATATCAAATATTATCTGTCAAGGTTTCAAAAATATGATGCCTAGAGCCCACGTTAGATCTACTGAATAGAGAGATCTCTGAGGATAGAGCACAGATATTTGTAATTGGAAAAAGCACTAAAATTGATTCTAATATAAGGATAATCTACATACCTTATCATATGGCAAATATACTAATGATAGATCTCTCTTCATTTGAAAATAAAAACAAAAATATAGCATAAAAACATGGCAAACAAGAATTCTGTTTCCAACTATGACAGAGTAACTGGAATTAGACCTGCCCTCCCACCATAAACAACTACAAAAATGGAAAATATATATGAAACCACTATTCAGAAATTTGACTACAGGTAGTGCAGGCCAATGATCCTTGAGAGAAGAGAAACAATAAAGTGACTCCTACAATCACACTGGCATTTTTCTGAAAGCAATTTCCAGACATTGGCCCTAGAAGGGGGAATATAAGCACAGTAGGTTGGTTTCATTGAGTTGAGAAAACAAATTTGGAGTTTAGAGAGGTAAGGTGGCTTAAATTTGCTGGGTAGAGTACCAAAGAAGAGGGAACTGTGCAAAGAAAGAGCTCCAGAAATGAGCAAGAATCTTTTGGGGTGTTTGGCTTTATACTTAGCTGAACATGTGTAAGCCAAAACTTGATTAGGCTGCATAGAGAAAAACTATGGAAGATCTGTAAGCTAAATAACTCCTACATCTCATATAGGGATGGGAGATATTAAAGTTCCAAACAGCCAGAATGGAGGTAACTCAGTGAAAACTGGGGACATTCAATAGAGACTCTAGGAAGTCATACCTTAGTAGGAGAGCTTAACTAACATTAGTGAAAAAGCTACCCCAGGCTCACCCTAACAAAGCATAAGAACAATCGTTGGAAGGGTCAAGTTGATCCACCAATAACCTGACAGCCAAAACAAACCTCAACACACTGTAATAGAAGACAACAAAATCCAATCACTTGATAATGTAATATTCATGAAGTCCAGCATCCAGTCAAAAATTACTTGATATTCGAAAAGGGATGAAAACGTTACCCATAATTGGGGGGAGGGGAAACTGGCCATTAGAAACAAACTCAGAAATTACAGAAATGAGGTAATTTTAGCAAACAAAGACTTGAAAACAGCTATTATAAACATATTCAAAGGAAATCATGAACACAAATAGGATAAAGATAATAAAAGAACCAAATGGAATTTCTAAAAATTAAAAACACAATATCAGAAATGAAAAATTAACTGAATGGGCTTAATAGCAAATTAGACAATGCAGAAGAAGATATCAGTAAATTAGGAGACATACAACAGAAACTACCCAAACTGAAATACTGGAAGAAAAATAAACAGAGCTTCAGTGAGCTGTGGGAAAATATTAGGCAGAGTAAGGCAAATGTGTTTAAAAGCCCAAAAGCGGCAAAATGGGGAGCAGGGGGTGGCTTAAGTGAAGAAACAATGGCCAAAAATTTTCAAGTTTGATGAAAAGTATAAACCCACAGATCCAAGAAGCTCAATGAATCTTAGGCAAAATAATAGCAAAGAAAATCACACCAAAACTCATTAAAATCAAATTGATGAAAACCAATGATAAAAATCTTAAAAGCAGCCAGGAGAAAAAGACACATTACTTACAGGGGAACAAAGATAAGAATGATCGTTGATTTCTCGTCAGAAACAATGCAAGCCAGAAGACAATGGAACGACATCTTTAATAGGCTGAAAGAAAAAAACTGTCAACCTAGAATTCTATACCCAGCAAAAATATCCTTCAAAAATGAATATGAAATAAAGACTATTTGAAGACAAACACAAGATAAAAGAAGTCATTGCCAGCTGAGCTCCACTACAAGAAATGTTAAAAGAAGGTCTTCAGGCTGAAGGAAAATGATACCAGATGGAAGCTAGCACCTACACAAAGGCATAAAGAGTTCTGGACATGTTAAATATATAATGAATAACTGTAAAAGACTTTTGACTCATATCAATATGTTGTTCAAAGATGATTTACTGCTTAAAATAAAAATAATGGCTATGTATTGTGAGACTAATAATACATATAGAGGGAAGTAATATATTTGATAACAAGAACAAAAAGGAAGGGAGGGGGAAATGAAAGTGCACAGGGTTCTTACATTACATATAAACTAGTATAATATTATTTTTAGGTAGATTGTGAAGTTAAAGGTACATATTGCAAACCTTAATGCAATTCTTTTTATAAAGAGGTATACCTAACAATCTAATACATAGATAAAATGAAACACTAAAAATAATTAACCCAAAAGAAGACAAGGTATTTTTTATAAAGGAACAAAGAATAGATGGGACAAATAGAAAACAAGTACAAGATGATAGGCTTAAGCCCAACTATATCTGTAATTACTTTAAATATAAATGGCCTAAACAATAGTTATATTACATGTAAATTATCTAAAAGGCAGAGGTTGTCAAACAGGATTTAAGTTTTTCAAAAAGCATGACCAAATACATGCTGCCTGCTAGAAACACATTTGAAATATAAAGATAGGTATGTTAAAAGTAAACAGAAAAAGTTGTACCATTATACATGATTAGCATAGCATTAGTAAATGCTAATCATAAGAAAGCTGGAGTGTCTATATAAATATCAGACAAGTAGACTCCAGGACAAAGAATATTACCAGTAATAAAGAGGAATATTTCACAATAATGAAAGGGTCGATTCATCAAGATCACATAACAACCATAAATATGTATGCATCTAATGATAGTTTTAAATTATATAAGCGAAACTGACAGAACTGAAAGGAGAAATAAGTCCATAATTAGTGTTACAATTTCAACAGCCGTCTCTCAGTAATTCTTAAAACAAGTAGACAGAAATTTAGTAAAAATAGAACACTTGAACAACATTCTCAACAGCTTGATCAAATTGATAATGATAGAATTCTCCACTCAACCACTGTGGAATAGACATTAATTTCAAGGGCACACGAATGTTTACTAA